ATCAACACTGAAATCCAGCAGAGCCAGCTCTGGAACCCATGTAGTTGTGGCAAGTGAGATGGAGACTGTGTAGAAAAGAGGGTAGGGAGTCAGGACCTAGGGCCAGCAGAACACAGATAAAATAATTCCCAGAAAGAGAAACCCCCACCCTGAATAGGGAAATACTGAGAAGAGGGGTGAGGCTTGTTATGCAAAAGGAAAGTAGTGGGACTCAAAGAGGCAGTCTCAGGAAAGTACTGCTTCTTGGGAAAGAGGGTGAAATAGAAAGGGCACCATCTACCTGGAGGCTTGGTGGTAAAGAGAAAGAAGAGATAGTAGAAATTAAGGATCTTGGTGAAACAGAATAGAAGATAGGTCATCTCCTCTCTCACCTAAAAGGAGTCATTGATTTAAAAAAAAAAAACCGAACACTTAGGTACTATTGAACTAAGAAATCCAGTAAATCATCCAAATCCCTCCAGTCTATACACAACTGTCATCTGGTTTAGGAAAAACAAAAAACTTCAAAATGAAGAGAAGATGACAGACAACATCCATAAAAGTTACTTAAGTAGGGCCGGCCCCTGGCGCACTTGGGAGAGTGCGGCCTTTGGGCGCTCCCACCGTGGGTTCGGATCCTATATAGGGATGGCCGGTGTGCTCACTGGCTGAGCGCGGTGCAGACGACACCAAGCCAAGGGTTGCAATCCCCTTACCAGTCACAACACAGACAAAAAAAAGTTACTTAAGTAGGGCCGGCCCCTGGCGCACTTGGGAGAGTGCGGCCTTTGGGCGCTCCCACCGTGGGTTCGGATCCTATATAGGGATGGCCGGTGTGCTCACTGGCTGAGCGCGGTGCAGACGACACCAAGCCAAGGGTTGCAATCCCCTTACCAGTCACAAAAAAGACAAAAAAAAGTTACTTAAGTAGAAAACAAAGTGAGAGTCAAAAAATTTGAACTATTTAAAAGTCTCCCCCAAACATTCCACTACAGAGATAAAGAAAACTACAGCACAATACCCCTATCTGAATTAAATATCCCTAAACAAGTATTTGTATCAAATCCAGATTCAAAACTCCATAACAAATGGACAAAAAGAGGAAGATTTGAAAAGTGAATTTACTGAGCTCAGGAGATGAAATGAAGAAAAAGGAAAATTGTCTTTTAAAATGAAGCTAAATTCCAAGGTACCTAAGGGAGAAACAATTTGACTGAATATAATAAGGGTCTCTGACAAAATGCATGAAGACAGCCAAGAGAATGAAAATTAGATGAAGAAAGGTAAATAGAAATAGAAAGTGATTAATATAGAAAATACATAAAATTAGACTTCCTAAGGAGATAAAACAATGGCAGAGCTAATATTTAAAGTTCAGTCTGTGAAAACATTCTGGAAATAGGAGAACACTCAAATCTACATATTGAAAAGGCTCATTGTTTACTGCAAAAATTGATCCAGAGTGGTCAGCTCAAAGTCATGTCCTAGTAAAACTATTAGACTTTCAAGATAATGAAGAAAATTCCTCTGGGCTTCTAGGTAGAGAGAAGAGGTTAGCAACAGACTTCTCAACAGCAACCTATAAAGCAAAACAGCCATGGAAAAACATATTTAAAGTCTATGAAAGTGTAAGCCAAGAATTTTCTAACTATGATTCACTCTTGGATTTACTGACTGTATTAAAGTATTTACATGGTGAAAAATGCCATGAGTAAAGACAAATGACAGGGGGGGGGGGGCGGGGATATTTGGACTTGAATCACAAAGAGCTAATCTCCTTAATGAAAACAACTTCTAAAAATCCAAGCAAACAAGACCGTCAATACAATAGAAAAACGGGCCAAAGATATGAAGAGTCCACAGAAAAAGAAACTCAGATGACACAGGTATAAAAGATGTTCCAGCTTGTCATACAAAGAAAAATACAAATTAAAGCTATACTAAAAAGTTAAAGCTATACTAAAGCATTTCTCACCCAAATCCAAAAGTTATATAATATGTACTATAGACTGTAGGGAAACAGGTACTTTGATACAATGCTGGTAGGGATACTAAAGCACAAACTGTGGGAGGGAATTTGGCAATATCTAGAAAAATTGCATATGCATTTATCCTTTGACACAGGCATTTAAGTTTTAGGAATCTGTTCTAAAGACACACTGAACTGGCATTTGTGTAAGGTTAGTTACAGCAGCATTACTTGTATTAGCAAAAGATTGGAAACAACCGAAATGCACATCAGTAGGGAACCAATTGGATAATCCAAGGTACATCCAAACAATGGAACAATCTCCAGGTAGATGGTACTCCTTCCAAGTCACCCTCTTGCCCTAGAGGTCATAAAAGAGAATGTAGACAGTCTCTGTGTAGCAATGTAGAATGAGCTGCAGAACATATTATGAAGTGGAAAAAAAACTAAGCCATGGAACAGTATGTAGAGTAACCTATAGGTAGAAGGAGTAAAGGAAAGGTGCCAACAGTGGGAGAGAAATTTCTCTAAATATAATTTGTTTATATAGTTTTGACCCTATTACATATTCAAAAATAAAATAAGCGTTTGACTGGTTAGCTCAGTTGGGTAGAGCGTAGCCTTATAACACCAAGGTCACAGATTCAGATCCCCATACAGGCCAGTTGCCAAAAATAAAACAAAAACAAAAAAGAAATAAAAATAAAATTAAAAGGTGGAATGAAAAGAAAAATCTGGAAAGGAATGGAAATAAAGTTACACAACTACATATATAGAATTTTGGTGACATAACCACACAAGAAAAAGGAACAATTTATAGTAACTATTTATTTTTGGTGGGTGGCAAGCCAGTTCAGGGGTTCAAACACTTGACCTTGGTGTTATAAAACCATGCTCTAACTAACTGAGCTAACCAACCAGCCCCCTCTAGGAACTTTAAAACATGGATTTTGGACTGTGTCGTCTTAGTGGGATATATCCAGTAGTATTATTGTTGGTGTACTGCTGTTTTGAAATGATTTTTATGTATATTACTGGATAAAATAGGTGTTGCAAAATGTTGATAATTGTTGGGCAAAACCAGAGAAGTTTATCAAGGCAATGACTTAAGAAAAGTTAGTCTGGAAAGTCCTTTGACAGACTGAATAAAGTGAAAATAAAGTACAAAATTACAAAGAAGCAGAGCTAACATAACAGAGTACATGTTATATGGCAGGCACTGTGATGGTGCTACATATATGCTGTACCATTAGGTCCTTGCAGCTACACATGGAGACTCACGATATTATTTTCCTGATGTTATGTAAAGAACTTGGTGAGGAAACAATTCCAGTCACTCGGAGACATGGAGAGTCAGAAAGTTTATTATGCTAGTGGGACAGGAACACTAGCAGGACCCAGGTTGACTCATGTCCTGAGATCCTGGGACCCTGAGTGCAGGGAGAGTTGTGGTTATATACTTTTCTTGAGCAGGCATGCAAGTCTTTTATTGGCCTTGTCTGTATCCAGGCAGTCACCTAAGCTGGGGGGCTTTATGAAAGAGGTGAGGGGCTTCACCATGCAGGGTTACAGAGACAGGAAATGTGGTTAAGGGGCTTTTGAAACTCAAGCATGCAACTTCTCTGAAACAGGCAAGCAGCAAGGTTTACGCAAGCAGACAGTGCAGTTATGGTGACCACAAACAAGGGTCTTTAGCAGGCAGCTACACAGAGACAGGATGTGATCCATTTTCACAAACTAGAGTCTTGGGTGGGCAGCTTCTCTGAAGCAGGCAGGTGGCAGGGTTACAAAAGCTGAAGATGCAAACAACTGATTTGACCACTAAACCAACTTTTAGGAGCTTTTTGCAAATAAGCACTTTCCAGCTGCAAAATTAAAATAAAGGGGCTTAGAAATCTACTTTTTGGGGTTTACTATACTGATAGGTCCAGAGAGGTGAAGTAATTTGCTTTATTAGCAAAGGTTATCCAGTTACTAAATTGGAGATTTTGATTTAAACCCAGATCTCTGTGACTCCAAAGTCTGTGCTTTTTCTATTACATTATTGCAGGATATGCATCAAATATTGAGAAGAAAGAACTGCAGGAGCTAAGTGTTCTATTTAAACCTGTAGTTGCTGCTCAGAAAATAAAGATGCAGACCCCAAATCAGTGGTTTGTATGTTCTTCATGCAAGAGCAACATACTAAAGGAGATAAGTGTAAGTGTTCTTTCTCTCTCTTTTTTTTTTTTTTTTTTTTGGCAGCTGGCCAGTACAGGGATCAAACCTCAGACCTTGGTGTCATCAGCACATGCTCTAACCAGCATAGCTAATTGGCGGGTTCCTATGTGTCTCTTTTTTTTCTGATGGGAAGATGCAAGCATATACATACACCCTTATATTGATGTTGGAGATAAATTTTATAAAAGTTGCCATTGGTGACTGAAGTTAGTAAAAGGTGTGATCTAAAAGTATGCTGAAGCATAAAAGAAAAAACCTAGCAGGCATGGATTTTCATGATGCTGTTAAAGGCAAAAATCCCTTCAAAGCTTTCCTTTGTACCGCTTCAAAGCTCTTTTTTAAGAGTATTATGGTATAAAACAGTAGAAAGATGAAAGCTAAAATTTTACCAAACATCTAATAGGAAGAGAGCATCTTTAAATCAGGAAATGCTTTGCACAGCCTTTTTGTAAACATTGGCCTTTAAGATACTAATTAGTTTAAATAAGTTTTGTTTCCTCCTGTTGGAGATGGGGGCTGATGGAGATTTCAGAGGTGCTCAAGCCTCCTTCACCCAGGCCTACTCTTTATACTTCTGCTGGTTTCCCTTGATGATAAATATATTTTTCATTCAGTTTAATACTTTTTGTAAGGCCTATCACTTGAAGTAATTTCAAGGGGGGTTTTCCTGTTTTAATTTGGTTTATGTATGTTTGATTATGATGAAAAATTAATTTGTAATCCTATATAACTGATAGCAATAAGAATATGTGTTGGATTTGCTATAAAGATTTTCAAAATTAATTTTGAAGCTCTTCTTTTGTCAGAAGCTGTGTTGATTAGTGGCTTTGGGGAAGGCTGAGAACGTCGAAACAAATTTGCAAATGATACATAGCTTCTAAGGTAAGCTAATATGATGACTCAGTCAAGATTATAAGTGCCCTTGACAGATTTGTAGACTACACTGAACACACTAAAGTAAAATTTATCAGTTACAAATATAATAAACTGACTTAAATTTTACAAAGTAGTTGCAGAAGTACTAAACAGACTTCCGTTTGTAGCAATATGATAGACAAGAGATCTTGAATCTCTCCCTCCACTGAACGTATATAATACTAGATTTGGTATTAAAAAAATCACTGAAAATGAATGGATGAAACTGTAAGAAAATAAGGGAAACTTTCTGGGACTAGAAACAAAACAACTATATCCCATGAGGTCACTGAATACTTTGGGGACAACCATGGATTTCTGTTGGCATAGAAGCTTTGTGCATGGAGAGGGATGGGGACTGAAGAAAAAAATCCTTGGATCTCACAGAGTTTAGGAATCCTGATGAGTGACCATCTTGCCAAGGTATTCAGCTCTGGGTGGAGTTAAAGTCTCCCCTAGTAATTCCTGGTTATCAGCTCATATTTATTTGAATTTGGGGCCTTAATTTACACTCTTTTCATGATTCCTTAAACTCCACAAGTGGAGGATTTTGATTTAAAATGGACCTGTGTCTTTAATACTCTTAGGTACCTGGTAGAAACAATCCCAAATCCTCCATGGAGGAATGCGCTATCAACAGTTAGCAAATAATTGTAATTAAAATTCTAACAAATAAGCTCATATACATTTTTTTAAAAAAATCACAAAACAAGGGGAAAAAAGCCAAAACACTATGAACCAGTGTCAGTAGAAACTACAAACAACTGAAACAGATCTATGGAGATTTCAGCTATTAGAAATATTCAATACATAAAATAAATATGTTTAATAAATAAAAGAGGGATTCTAAAACATAAACAGTAAGAGACTATAAAAGTGATCAGGTGCATTTAGAAAAGAATAGAATATCAGAAATGAAAATAATATATAATGATAGAACTTAAAAAATTATATGATGGGTTAATCCAGCATATCAGGAACAGTTACAAAGGGAAAGAAACTACATAGAAAGCCATACAGAGAGAAAAAAAGGTAGGAAAATGTAAAAGAGATTGTGAGATGATCTGATTAAAGTTCCAGAAAGAAAACATAGAATGGGTATGAGCCAATATTCATAGTAACCATTAAAAATATGCCAGAATTGATGAAAGACACAAATCCTCAGATTTAAAGAGCCCAGTGATTCCCAGGCAGGGTAAAGAAAAAGAAATACACACTCACGTTGTTGTTAAGCTACAGAATACCAAACACAGAGAGACCAATAGGTCATAACCCACACTTTAAAAATACTGTTCTAAATGGTATACTTCAAGAAGAAGGAAAATGGTCCTAAAAGGAAAGTATGAAATGAAAGAAGAAATAGTGAGTAAAGAAAATGGTTAACATGAGTGGTGCTTACAACTAATTGATCACAGTCACTTACAGATTTTTTTCTTCTCCACTCCCACTGCTTCACTTGACTAGCTTTAAAGGAAAAAAAAAAAAAAAGGTTAACATGATAACATGAAAAATCTAAGGTAATATTGAAGAAGAAAACAGTAATAATGTCTAATCTGGTTGACAAACAAAGTGGAACTATAATAATGTACTTGCCTGTAATAGCATGTAAGCTGGTAAGGGTTGATTGGAATTTTAGTATTCTGAGGTCTGTGCATTGTGTGCACTGAAGGAAAAGACATTTTAAATGGAACCAGTAAAAAAAGACTTTCTTTTTTAAACCAATAAACGGAAAATAAAGGAATGATGGAGGAAAAAGTGATTTAAAAAGACGTCAAGAAATAAGTACTCTTTTTTTGTCTTGCTTCTTTTACTCACCTTAGTTATTTTGAGATTTATTGATGTTGTTGCATGTATCAGTCATATATTCCTTTCTCTTGCTGAATATTATGTCATTGTATGGATATACCACATTTGTTTATCCATGCATGTGGATGGAGATGGATTGATAGATAAAAATGCTATGACTATTCATGTATAAGTTTTCATATGGACATATGCTTTCTTTTGTCTTGGGTAAATTCCTAGGAATTGGAATGGCTGCGTCATATGGAAGGTGGATGTTTGACTTTTTAGGAAACTGCTAGAATTTTCCAAAGTGGTTACTAACAGGTGAAAGAATAACCAAATTGTGGTATAGCTATACAGTGGAATACTACTCAGCAATACTTGTAACAAAGTGGATGAATCTCAGAACAATTATGCTACGTGAAAGAAGCCAGGCAAAAAAAGAATACATACTACTTGATTCTACTTATTAAAAATTCTAGAAAATGCAGCCAATCTATAGCAGCAGAAAGCATATCAAATGCAGAGAGTACAGCAAGGGAGGGGAGGAAGGGATTATCAAGAGACAGGAGACATCTAGGAGGTTCACTATCTTGATGTGGTGATAGTTTCATGGATATATGTACATATGTCAAAACTTTTCAAGTTGTACATTTTAAATATGTGCAGTTTATTGTATGTCAGTTATTTCTTAATAGAGCTTTTTAAAAAGAAGGCAAGAAAATAGAGAAGAGAGGAACATCACTTGATAATAATTCCTGTGAAAGGCTTGCAGATGGGGTTCTTATTTGAATTATATTACCTTTAAGCCTCTCAGTGCGATTCTGTGAAAATATGAAGGAAGCAAGTATGATGTTATCAATATTAAACAACGGGAATTATTAATTAAGAATCAAATATTTAATAATATCAGGCAAAGGTAGCCTCAGGCAGTCTGCCTCTATACCATCCTCACCAACAGAGCAGGAATGTATAAGACCCTGGGACCAGACAACTCTCCTAGAGAGTGCTTGAATGGGCCTTGCAAAATATAACTTTTTTCTCCCACCATATGCACCAGTGGCTGGCTAGTGCTCCTTCTGAATGACCCAGAAAATAGCTAACACTTTCCATTAGGTTATACGTATGTTAACACTCTCATTAGGTTATAGCCAAGTTGTGTTGGTCTGAAAGCCATTTTGTCTCTATTAGGTAATGTTACACATGTCTACTGATTTCCTATTACATACTTCACAGTTTAATTCACAGCATTTGGTGATATATTACTACCCCCTACCCCCAGCTGTCTACACTATAAAGAAATCTTTTTTTCACTTCAGGTAGCAGCATGAAAAAGGGCATCCTTAGTTAAGTACAAATTTCAAATTCTGCAACTAAATTTAAATTAAATATTGTAGATCAGCATAAACTCCAGACTGATTAAAAGGAAAATAAGCATTACAGGTAGTAGCATATTTATCAACTTTGTGGGCAACTGGTAGCTTCTCAGCTTTGGAGTAAAAAAAAACACTGAAGAGCATTTTATAGATTACAGTATATTGTATAACTTTTTGTACTAATGAATGTTAGTAAAACCAAAGTAAGAAAGGAAAGAGATTAGGAGAAATATTTGAACCAAATAACAAAGATTAATGTTTATAAAACATAAAGAACTTATTAAATTTTATGGGAGAAACCTCAAAACTCTGGTGGATAAATGAAATATGGATATTAATTTATAGTTCTTGTAAGAAGAAATTAAAAAACAAACACAAAGGGGGATGTTCAATCTCACAAGTAATCAAATAAATAGAAATTAAAATGGTGAGAGGACATTTTATTTCTAAAGCAGTGAGGATTCAAAAAGGTACTAGGAGATGGTGAGGTTCTGGTATACTCATGCTGGTAGCATCTTTAATTAGTTATTTAAATTACTTTTAGAAATCAGTAATATATACCAAGGTTCTCAAAATGTATATATGTTTTGATCCAGTAGACCTATTTGTGGTACTTTATCTTAAGTAACCTAAATAGGGAAAAAAATGCATGAAAAATTTTTGACAGGATTGATGACAAGAGTGACAAATGGGAAATAACTTAAGTGTCAGTGATAGCAGGTCAGGGAAATTAGGTTAATACTGTGTTGTCAAAAAATGGCAGTTTTTTCTAAATGACTATATAGAAACGTGGGTAATATTTTATATAGTAAGTGATAGAAGTATGTAAAATTTTATACTGTTAGTACAGTTATGTGCAATATGTATGTGTATGATAAAAAAAAGTGCTAGGAAATACTCTGAATAAAAATGGCCTTTGTGTTTACAGGGTGAGACATTCTGTTATTGTCCCTAAATTTTTAAAAATGAATTTTCAGTGGAAAAAAAATGCAACTTAAATAAATTAACTAAATGAATGAATGCTTATTGACTTAGAACTGTGGGATATGTAATTTTCTTAGAATTAATGGAGGTCCTGAGTTAAATTTAATTCTCAAATATTTAGGTGCTTTGAAATGAAATCACTTTTTACTTTGCCTGTTCTAGCTTTCTGTTGCTAACATATATGAATGTCATTGATTTGAGTGGACAAGGTGCTATATTTTATCAATTTGCTAAACAAATTATGTTTCAGACATTCAAAGTGTTTACTTATGAGTTATCAACCACATGAGATCATTTACTTTTGTTAAGCATATGTCTGGTTAGAGAGCTGAAGTCATCTTTTCAGGCTGAGTTTTTGTATTATTTTATCTTAGTTATTAGTACTTATTACTATGTTGTAAGTGTTTTTGATGTTTTCATAGCAAGAAAATCACGTTAGTGTAATGCATATCATAACTTAATTCTCTTTATGGGAGAATGGATTTGACTCAGACATGATTCTGTCATTTCCCAAATAGATAACATGGGTCCAGAGAATTGAATGTATGTATGAGCTATAGTTCAAAAGGCTGTTGGGACATGAAACTTATATGTACAGATGGTTTAATCATGCAAATTGTTCTGAAGATGTCATACAGAAATTTTTGCAGGGAAGTTTGGCTTTTTGTTTTTTAATTTAAAATATTTATTATTCTTAGTTCTCTAGACAGTTGATAATAAAGGCCTTGGAGAAAAATAGGAGAGCAGGTGATTATAAAGAGGAATATGGGAAGTTCATGGGAGTTTATCTTTTATGACCTACTATATATTTTTCCTTTAAAG